GTCTTGTGTGTCTTGCGTATCTTGCGTATCATGCGTGTCTTCCGTGTCTTGCGTGTCTTGCGTGTCTTGCGTGTCTTGCGTGTCTTCCGTGTCTTGCGTGTCTTGCGTATCTTGAGTGCTTTGCCGGGCCCCAGCCTTGGTTTCTCACCTCACTAAATCATCAGGAGGAGATCTGGAGCAAAGGTATGCTATCATGCTGCTCTGGATCTTATCCACGAGCCCAGAATACATCTCTGCCAAAGACTTTCAAACAAAATGTTCGTCCTTAAACTGCATTAGCTCCGGATAACTTAGAAGCTATGCATCTTCTACATGGGGCAAGATGCATACCCTTATAGTGCCTTTGTGCCTCAAGAATTGCTAGCAAGCTCCTTCAATGCATTATCGAAGCGGTCATGTCTCAGTCTACGCTTTTAATCACACTACGACCCGTCAATATAGGTCGCATACCGGTCTGCCACTTCTCTTTTTGACATAATCCTGCAGCTTGACGAGCGGGTTGCGATGGTGTTGGTCGATCGTCTTCGACAAGGGTCTCCGCTGGTCGTTCTGAGATATCTGCAATCTTGATCGACGCGCAAATGTAGCCGAAACCTCCAGCGCGAAGCCGACCTTCTTCAGCAAGTATAAAGATGGGCAGAATCCTCTCGCCAGAATCTGGTTACCTGTCTCGATCAATCGACTCCTGACGAGAACCCTCGTATTCACAATGTCGGTAAATCAAAACAATGCAGACCACTCCCCTCATCAGGATCAACCACAGCCTATCACTGGCCAAGCAGCATCTGCTGCCTCAGCCCGCAATGGTAGATCAGGAAATCAGAATAACTCTGCCTCGACCAACACGAACGGGATTGCTGAGCAGGTAAGGAGGTCTCTATCGTCCTTACCGACTAGCAATCACATTGCATGCATTTCAAACATGTTAATATGGAGGCAAAGTATACTGATGACACCGGACAGACTCACTCTAACGAGAATGGGCTGGATGCACATATGCAGAACCCAAGTTCGACCGATCTAGAACGGATGGGCTTCTCGACTCGACAGGGTAAATAAAAGGTACGAAATGTGACTCTCTCGCGCAAAATGACAGCTTGATTGACCTTCCTATCTATCTAGGTCCGGAATCTGGATGGCGAAAGGCAGCCTTGTAGACAGCTTCACCAGCGGTGCCGTCGCCCTCGAGCTATGCGGCTATTGGAAGGAAATCAGCAACAGAAAGTCGAAGGTGCTGAACCTGACTTATGTAATGAACTTTTCGTGGGATGCTGTTTAACCATGTGACCTCGGTCAAATTGTACTCACGTAATAGGCTTGGCAGATAAACGGATGAGCTGTTCACGGCTTCACGCGAACGTAGCAGAAGCCACGTCAAAAGACCACCTTTTCATCATCCACTCTTGCCGTGGAGGCTCAGCTTGGAATATTATAGTCTCAAAGTATTAAACGCATGATTTCCACCCACAATATTTTCCTGTTCATATTCGTTTCATCTATTCGCAATATGTACGATCTAAATCCCTCGGATGAATTTCGGAAAGCGGTCGAGTCTATTTGGCTTAACGCAGACGACATGGTTCCGGTGGCAGGAAAAGAAGGCTTGAGTCGACTGCCGATTCTGTCTCGACCAGAACTAATTCAGGAGGGAATGAGAAATGTGATGCGGTTATACAACAAAGTTATAGTACGCAAGGGGCCGCGTGTTCACACTGCAATGAACTAATACTTTGACCAAGTTTCCTCATCACATCGCCCAGCGAGCAAGAAGCCAGGGACTCCACGCCGAGCGTCGTTCTGGTCCGGACTTTTACACCCTGCGCGGCCCAGAATCCTTCCTTTTCCCGGGAGAAGATCGCATGGCTGTATTTATCTCCATACGCAAGCCAGAAGGAAACTTAGAGCGAGGACCGAATGAAGCAGGCCAGGCAAGGAAGGAATTCGACGGCAAGGATGAAGTCGCCAGCTTGAGTGAGTCCAACGAGCTCGTGATCGGAAGGGCAGTCAATGGAACGCTGGTCTCTGACGAGACTGCTGACCAGACCTGTAACTTGGTTGTCGGTGGTGTACTTGTCCTCTTCGGAATGGAGTGTGTGTATCCCAAGGCCGAAACGAGCTCATTGATAACTATTCAGTACACTACAACTCCCATTTAGTACCATACAAAACAAGCCGGAGAATGACAAAGTTGGACAATTTCGATCGTCGCTCTCTGTTCCTAATTGAGGCCACTTTACTTCAAAGTTCAGGCAACACCATAGAGTTCAACGCGTCAATGTATCCCGGGCTCATAGTGTTTTGATCAAAATTCCACAACTGATCGAGGGGGTAATCGAGCATGAAATCATCGAGCCCTGACAGACCAGAGCTGTTATGCATCTCCATATGCGGATTGAAGTCGTCGGAGGCAAAGCCGTCATTCGGAAAATTGTCTGCAACACGGGGAAACATGTCGTCAGGGACACTCGTTCCAGGATTAACATCCTCGCTGTCAGCGAAGGCATCTGTGCAGGCGTCATCCACACGCCGCCGTTTACGTCGCACCTCTTCGGGCTCAGATTCGCTGTCTTCGCGTCCATTGGTAGTTGTCTCATTTGAAGAGGTCCATGCAGTCCCTATTTCACGTTAGTGGTTAATGTTGAAAGATGAGGACTGACAGACCGGCTATCTGCTCCCCGGCCTCGGCCTCTCGACCATGAATGTTAGAAGACTCAACTACCTCTGTTGAAGGTGGAATTTGATTTCGAGGCGCTTCCTCACCCACTCGACAAGGGAAGCCATTTGATCGCTCAGGTAGGGTAGTTTTGTCGACAGATACCTCCGTCATGTTGCTTGTAAATTGATCAGGAGGGACATTGGAAGATGCCGTATTACCGTTTTGATGCAAATGTACGTCTAAGCTTCCTTGTTCAGATGCAAAGTTCATGGGCATCCTAGCGACGTCGTTTCCGGAGCAATGTTCATCTCGACTGCCATCATGGAGTCTGTGATCTTCAATGACCTCCATAGTGACTCCGTCCATATGCACGTCTGGAGACTTGTTGCTCTCGTTCGAGTTGGTATCCAAGGGAGAGCCCTCGTGGTGTGTATTCGATGGGTGTTGCGCTGACTGTGTCTCCGAGATTACGTCGTTTTGCGTGAAGTTGTTGAAATCCATCGAATTGCCCGACTGGGGTTGGATGAGCCTGAGACCTGAATTCGTGTCGGGAATCTGCTCGTCGAATGCAACCGGCGCTACGCCATCTAGGCGGCGACGCTTGGGCTGGTGATGAGTGTCCTCATGTCCAGCTGATGCCGTGCGATCGATCTCAATAATATCGTCAAGACTGCGCGTGGAATTTGCCGAGTCGGAGGCTCCATCTTCGTCGTGCGATGTACAGGGCAGAGGACGCGCCAGAGACGCCTCTTCGTCCGGGCTGACAATTAAGAGATTTGCGCTATCTCGATTGTCTATCAAGTCAAATGAGTGTCCAAGAGGTTTCTTCAGATGTTCAGGCTTACCGTGATCATGAGCAGATTCAGCATCTTGGTTGTTCTCCTCTAGACAAAGACGCTTCGCTTGTGGTGCCGCAGCATCATCCGAAACTTCCATCTCTTCAATGAATCCCGATCGTGCTCTCAAGTAGCGGTAGTGTTGCCAGTAACTACTTGGCTCATACAGGCCATCCTGGCACACCTCCCAGTCCGACTGGAGCTCGAGCGTGCCGAATGCCTTCATCTCAAGCGCCGTACAGGCTTCCTGGAAGCTGTGATTTATATTCAGTACAACGTGGCACAAAGATACGGAAGAAACTTACGTGATCCCCAACAAAACGCCAACCCATAGAGCTGGAACGGGTATTTCATATTGCAGGGGAGGATCCTCTAGTTTCCCAGCCAGACCCTCTATGATGTGTCTCCCAAGTTCGTCTTGGTCCTGGTCGGACAATCTTGAAGCTATACACATTGTGTTCTTCCTCTCTGTGCCGGTCAGTCTCACAGCCTTGCGTCCCGGATTATCATTCTGCTTACCGGCAAGAGCAATAAAGAACATAAGCGCAGCAGGCCCATCGCGCAACCATAGTTGATGGAAAACCTTGTTGATCACGCGTACTGCCTTCGCCCTTCGTTCCAGTTTACCTCCGTAGGTATAACGGATATAACTAAAACTTGCGGCGCAATACCAAAAATTCCAGGAGTCGCGTTTGGTCACCTTCTGCGAATATGCGACGAAACGTTGCTCCAATGCACGTAGTTGTTTGAGCCTGACGCTCTGGTCCGAGTTTTGGAACTTTTCGACATCCTCCAGACTCTTGTAGCGGATTATTGGCAGGGTATCGTCGGAGAGGGGGGCATCCATAATGTTCAAGGTAGAAGATTTCGATTGTTTCCGCTGTCTCTTTTCTGCATTCAGTCGTCTCTTTTCTGCCTTCTGGTGTCGTTTTCGAATCTTATCCATCCCGCGCTCAACACTCTTGACTATGGTCTCAGCCTCCTGCTTTACCGTTTTCTTTGCCCTCTTCTTTGTCGGAGCCTGTTCTTGTTCTGGCGCGCGAGATTCTGTGACTTTGACGATCTCCCTTCTATCCCCGGCGGGGATGGGAGGATTTTGGTGTCTTAAGGCAACTTGTCGGGGCGTCTCCGTGACTGGGCTGGACTCTTCGCCCGCTTCCGGCGGGACAATGGGACTATCGGCACTGGTCCTTTCAATGGTCAGGTCATCTGCTTCGTGACAGTTCGACCATTTTAGGACACATTGTCTTTTCTTTTCCGTGCACGTCGAGGAGGCGTCGGTAACATCCGCAGGAGGAATCTTCGTTCTGCTGGTTTTGGTCAGTTCTGCTCGAATGGCGAGTAAGGATGGTTCCTCGTACCAGCCATCATCTATTTTGCGCCTCGTTGGAAGAATGTATGTATCGTAAATCAGCTGAATTTCTGACTGGAATTCGTGGTCGATTCTGGCGTCCTGGAAAGCAAAGTGGCAACAAGGCTGGTATCGAACATTAAGTTCATACACCGCATACAGTGGTGTTGGCCAAGTCGGCAAAATATCGACCTCGACTGCCGCAAAGTGTTCATCGCAGGAGACACAGGATCGAAACACTGTCGTTTCCCTATCCGAGATGTCATAAAGCTCTTGCTGTCCCCTCGACGCCAATTCGTGAGCCTTCTCGACCTGCCTTCCTGAGATGTGCCGCACAGCACAGATAGGCCCAGGGTTGACACCAGTATCATACATTTTCTCACCGTTTGAGACTGTCAGTTGGGCCTGGTAACGGAGCGTTGGCTGAATACAAATCCAAAAGAGCAGAAGGAGCGGGGACCACTTATGTCCTCAACAGTGTTTGAGGACAAAAGTGGGCCGGGAAACAGCCCATTTCATGAGGGTGGTTGAGCTAATGCGACCGCAAAGGCTGCATTTTTAGCTCACTAGCCAGGGAGCAGACCTCCAACTTGCGAGTTTGCTAATCTAAGCTTTCAGGGTTTTAGTAATTTTGTTTGTTTCTTCGAGATTCCTATTGCTATCGAGAGACCACACATGACGGACGTGCGGTGATGCTACCCTTTCTCACCAGACTTCGCGTTCCGCCTTGGAGGACTGGTCTAGGGGTTATTTCACTCCTCTAGACGCCCTCTAGAGAACCAGTAGATAAAGATCCCTTCGCCTGCATGACCCCTTGTTGCCTGGTTGCCTTCTTTCCTCTGCACTGTCCTTTCATCCTTCTTATTGGTTCGTTTACTCAACCGCAGCTCAACATCATGACAGCTTCGATGAAAGATCCCGCGTGGCTTTGCAGCGTGGTCAGTGTATTTTTCACCATAGTGTTTGTTGTGACGGCTTGGACCAAGTTGTCACTGAGACACATCAGCCGTATTTTATGTTTTCTGAATGGCTGTTGCCAAATTCTTTTTGAAATTGCTCTTATCGTCATCCCCCGAGCAGCACCGCAGCTTGTTTCCATTCCTCACCTTGTGGCCCACGTGGCTCTTTTCTTCAATTATTTTCTCTTTGTGAGTTTCGTCCCGGCTCCGTTGGACAACCATCTAACCGCTTCAGCAGGCTGGGGAGGTATACGGCCTGGTTCAATCTCCAGGGAAGTCACTATATGATCGGATCGTCGTCCGAAATGTGACAATATTGTCGAGCATCCCCGCGGTTGGTTTATTTGTATCGTCTCTTGTCTGGAGGTGTGTGTTCCTCTTCCGTTGCTTGAATAGTGCTGATGACACCACATACACAGACGAAGTGCATTCACCAGCTTGCTTCTTTACACCCTCGCCATCTCACTTTGTTGTCTTTATTCGATTGGCTGGGTAGGGAAACTACTGTGGCTTACAGGGCCTGACGAGACCCGCGTTGTAATGTCCTATCATTTGTATCAATCGATTGTGTCTCTTGTCATGAATCTTGTCGCCTTCGGGCTTCAGAGATTCGGTCCGCGGAAGATATTGTGGCTTGCAGTAAGTCGAATTTTCATGATACCGCTTATTTACTCACGTATGAAGATTCAGCTCTTGATAAGCAATGTCCTTTTGGCGTTGGGTGGGCTTTTCAAGACCGAACTTTTCAAGACACTATACTTCAAGATACGACACCTCTACATGGGCCACGTTGGCCATGAATTGCCTATGAGGAGATCCTCGAGTCGCGAACAGATCGTGTCCAACGAGCACTCCGGAGCTAACTCCACGACAACATTTGCCACGATGAATGAGAGGGTCAATGAGCTAGATCAAGCTCTCGACCAGTCGATGCAGACCCTCGAAGGTATCGAAAAGAAGGTTTGACAAGCGAACTCCCGCCATTTGGCGGTTGTTCTTCGTTGACGGGGTGTCGGCAGAATTGAGGGCAGCTTTGGTACATATTCTGTGTCACTGTAAAGTCCATTCATGAGATATCTGCGCGTCTTTAGATCTCCTCCTGGGGTTGATAGGGTTTCTTCTTTGTCACCATAGCATTCCTAGTGACCGTTTGAACGAGAACTTGCGTCCAGGCTCCTGCTACCTAGCCTCGAACATCCCTTACTCTTAGCACCCTGTTAGACCTGTTGGTTTGCGAATTGGAAAGTCAAACCAGTATCGCACCAGGAGTTACAACGCATTTGACATCAGCGTATAGTTCATCACACCATTCCTGGTTCTCCGATTGGGTCACGGATTAGAACCGTCTCATCATTCAGAGTTTCAAGTTCATCTGGGGCCCAGCAAGATATTGAGGTGGCGCTCGTGCCTCTCGACAGCATTGCGCGCTATATTGCTTTTGTCAAGGGGTAGACAAGGGTTTACATCTCATCATGTTTTGCCCTGAATTCTGTCTTCCTCAAGTCAACGTGCGCACATAAAATATATCTCCCAGATATCCCTCGCCAGGACGGCCTCCCACTCTTTATCTTTCTGCCCTTTCTCCAACAGCTTCATCATCAGCTGCCGTTGCAAAATGACCGAGTTTGGCCCTCCCCCAGCCAATCCAGAACGTCCAAGGCCTGACTCACAGGCTTTAGCTTTCCAACCCATGATTGATGAGGTATCGACGCTGGAGACCTTGACGGATACTGAGGTATCGACCTCGGGCTCCTTGACAGATGCTGACTCGACGCTGGACACCTTCAACGATACGCGCGTGGAATTTATCGACGAGGAACCTCAAGACTTCAACCAGCTAGCCTTTGAGTTTCCTCTATACCTGGACGATCAGCGTCTAACTAGCTTATCACTATTCACAAGCTTCTCATCTCGTCGCGATGAAGTGATAGCTGAACTGGGAGGCTTGGATAACAGCCATTTCTTGGAACGTATTGCAGCTATTGTCGCGCTCAGTCTTTGTGAAGGCATTCCCTCCTTTCTGAAGGACTGGTCAGAGTCACTGGAGGCTGAGGAATTGATATCTCAGCTACACGCTGAACTTCATAGCGACTCTTCTCAGGTGCACGCCGAACTTGAAGGCGAGAAAACGGTCAATCATACCCGCAATTTGCTGCTCCTTGTGGCTGGGTACGTGATACAGAGCCATTTTCAGCCCCGGGAACACCTCGTTAGCAAACTGGAATTACCGTCCCGCCTCAGCTCTGATGGATCTACTCAGTACAAAATAGCAACTTTGTGTTATGCACGGCATTTTCATTGTATGCCTGCACTGAGTGTGTTGGCGCCATCACTGTCCTTGGAATCCGTCAGCAGGCGAGAACTTCAAGCATTTCAAGACTACGCTCTTCAGCATTTTCCGTTGAAGTTGAGTTACGACAACCCACCAGCCTACGAATCATCAACTCTCCCGGGTTTGACACCGGCTCTCACCTACGGGGAGGAAACGTCCGAATTTGAAGATAATGACAGTGGTACTTGGTTGTCTTCCATCATGAATCCTTTCATGAGATGCCTCCCCTTTCGAAGGCAGTCTTCAGCGGCCTAATCTTGTCTATCTTCACCGTCTTCTGCTACTATCTATCCCTATGTTGGAGAGTTTCTCCAGATGGACTGGGTCAGAAAGGGGGCAATATCGCACGCATGGTGTGTCTTGAGAGGTTCATCGATGAGAACAAGCGCCTCTTGATCATTCGCATCCTTCGACGTTGATCATCTTGCTTTCCCCTTGCGACGAGACTTTAGCTAGTAATTTTCCATTCAATTCATAGTATTCGACGATCGTCAGTGGCTGTCGTGAGCGTAGAGAAAGAACTAGCACGCCATCGCAGGCTGGCTTTCGAGCCCACCAAAGGCAGCAGACTGATTAGATAACCAATTTGATTGCTTTCCTCATTGCTGTCAGCCTTTTCGGAAGATGACTTGCTTTGCGATTACCGATGGCTGACACAAGATTTATTAGGTATAGCTTAAGGCATTGCTACATATTCAATACAACGATCGAGCGATGTACCCTCTTTCTCAGTTTTCCACAACCCTCAGGCTCATTTGCCTGATAAGCAAAGGATTCCCCAATCGTTACATCCTGTATCAACATCTAGGCTGTATACCAGCCACCAGAGATTCATTCCTTGGCCTCCCATAGCTCTATAGTTATGTGTAGGCATCCCCTTCAGCGAACAAAGAACCATTTCAATATTTCAAAGGCTGGCATCCTGCCCAACCCAACTCTCTTATTGTCCTCCCGTCCTACGCTCTCCTGCACCTTACACTTATTCGCTCTGAACATTGCAGCTTCGAAACACTACTATTCTCCCTTCCACGAAACCGCACAACTTTGCCAAAGTATCGAAGATCTACATCATGCCCGCAGGCAAAGATCTTGACCCTCAGTTTACCCCCGAGCGGTGTCAGATCGAAGATGAATTGAAAGATATAATGGACGCTGCAAAACAGGATCGTTTGAGGAAGTTACTTAAGGAACTTTTGAAGAAGACATTATACACCTTTCGAGAAGCAAGCCATCAACACGGAATGATGAGCGCCACTCTAGCTGACGCAATAGTGTCGACCGAGGAGCGCCATATACACTCGTTAGACTACGCGTTCGTCATTTCTTGCTGCTCTGTTATATTGGAATGGACGCCGATGATATGGAACGAGGTCGAACGTCGGAAATCAACAGATGATATCTGGATAAAAATGTTTTATCTGGGGTTAAGCCTGAAGGAGCATGAAGAAAATCATCGGATGGGAAGGTACTGTCTCAAGCCTTGGGCCACGATAGAGAAGTACAGGAAGGCAGAAGAGGGTCCTCCTTCCTCAGGAGAATGGGCACTGGATCCTCAAACGTCCTCAGAAGAGACAGAAGTTGAGGCCCTTTCATGCAGTGGCTCTCGGTAAGTAATCCTTCGAAAAGGAAACCCTCCCCTCCCCTCCGGGATGTGAGAAAATGACTAACACCGTCGGTACTCAACAGTGCTGAGGAAGACTGCACTTGACTGGAACACTAATATGAACGAGCATTCAGGTGAGCTCGTGCTCAATCACAATGTTTGGTGGTATATGTGATTGCTGTAAATGCGTCTCTTATTTGACAGAAAGACAAGAATACGCAAGACCAGCCCACGACTCTCAACAATGCCACGCAGATATGATCTTTGCTCAAATCCACTTTCCTCATTTCCCAGAAACAGACTTGGCGCTACCATCACCACCATCATCACTATGGCAGCTGCAGCAACCATATCTATCTCAGCCAAACCAGCCAATGATAATGTGGACTGGTTGGAGATGCAACCTCGTGATGAAGCTTTCAGTCAGCTGTCCTACGGGTCGAACGCTCGAACGCCTTTGAATCGAGGTAGACCAGAGCAACCAGTGAAGGGATCTGTGGGTGGGCTTCCCGCTCAGTAGACATTCCCTGCGCTCCGAGTGAATATGAGCCAGTTATTGCACTTCTCAGACTATGAGAAGAATGGATATGGTTGCAGGTGCCGAGGATCAACAACACTAGTCTCCATGGACGAGAGTGTTAATGCCTCAATACTGATCCTTTGCTGATTGATGGTCCTTGCATCCGTGGTTGGGTACATGTCCGGAAGGGGCGTCTGGAAACCGTGCTCATTATAGTTGGGTTGGTTGGAAGGCGACACTGTCTGTGCTTGCTGAAAGTCATTCGGAGACTCTTCATTTGGCCTCACGACTGGTTCGTTGAGCTCCCTACAAATATCCTCATACGAGGGTTCAGAGCTCAAGACATTCATGAGACTCACGAACTCGGGACTGTTCTTATCCTGACATACTTGTAAGATCTTCCCCAGTAATATTGCGTACGATGCCTGTCTCTGACGGGAATCCTTTCTCCTCAAATCTTTTGTTCCTCTCTCGCACTCCCATCCTGCCTTTTTACATTCACCACATTTGATTTCATTATCACACTAGTTCACCGTTAAATGTCACGATCATTTATTTAGATAATCAAGCAATGTACCTTTCTTCTTCGCTTTCTACAACCCTCACAAGCACTACTCACATGCTTACTTGGCCGATGCTGAGTCTTCTCACTCTCTCGAGGACTCATAGTTAGGAGATTCGTAAGGCACAAGATCAACTTAAGAATAGGCTTAGAGTAGTGTTGGTTATGGGTCTTGTTGGCAGTAGTACGGAGCTTAGATGGTCACTTGGTCATCCTTGAAGTAGTAATTCAGGCCAGACAGAACAGTTACTGCCTGAGAGCAATATTCTTAAACCTCAACGTGTCTGCGTCCCTCAACTCTCCTTTTCTCCAGTCCTTATTTATCTCTCCCCTCCACCTTACACTCTCCCGTCGACAAAAGCGCAGACCTTCCCAGAAAGGACCGCAGTTGAGACACTCTCATACAGTGGCTCTCGGTGAGTAATCCAAAAACGCCACCCTATTTCAGAAGGCAACTGACATTGTCGATAATCAACTGCTCAGTCGTCGTGATCGAAATTTCGAAATGAACGAAAACGTCATGAAAGACTCAGAAAAGTCAATCGAAGGGCTCCGTCACTCAATTCAAACTCTCTTATCATCCTTTGAGATGCCCCCCGAGGAACAACCATTGAGCCTCATCTTCCACTCGAGCAATGAGACACCAATGGTCCAGATCCACGATAGCAAGTGGCTCGTTGAATTCAAAGAGGTCCTCAAGTCGGATGACCAGATTGTTCATGAATCACAGGTGCCCCTGGAATCGGCCGTTCTTGCATTGTATCACTGGGCCAGTCGAAATTCGGGGCCTTTCGAGGAACACGAGCGCATCATTGAAATGCTCGATGAGCTGCGGGAAAGATTGATGTACTGCGCCATCCTAGCTCGAATTGATGGCGACGAGGAACGATACTTCGAGCTTTTCCCAACGGCATGTCTCGGAGAAGGAATTGTTCTCCCAGCGAAGTTGATCGACGAGATGATTATTCAACCAGCGATGCTTCGCGGAGAGATCGTTTTTTCCCCAGCTCCAACTGGCAAGGTCCATGGTCATCTCTGTGAATGGCATACGCGGGAACGGAGGTGCGTGGTCAGCTACAACGGTCACATGTTGAAATTGGACGGGAAGCTGCTGAAAGATGGACCATTGGTACTATGTGGAGAAACGGGCAAACTCCATCAACGGCTCCTTCGTCGCTATTTTGCTCAGCACAATTGACATTCTGTGCTGTCACCTAAAGTAGCATTGAGTTTGAACTTCCGTGCTGAACCAAGGAAATGACCAATTTCATGGCATAGAGATATCATATCTTGCTGTACTGGTTTTCTATGGGGGATAGTAACTCCCGAGCTCCGGGATACGCAAGCGTAGAACAAGTAAGAGGAACATCTCTCCGGGGTTTGCTCCAGGAGCGTAGCCCCTTCTCCCTTGTATGTTGCTCTTCCTTCAGTT